AGCTCCTAGGAACCTTGAGTATGCTGAAAATTGACCTGGAGCTTCCCTCTCAGGAGCTCTGCCTGCTCATTGAACAGGTCTGTCCACCATTTCTTAAAACATCTCATGGCTTCCTGTCTCCTGAAATGTCCAGCCCCTTTGTGTCCTGTAACAAGTGCCGTACTGCCTCTTTTGTGAATTCTACCCCTGGGAGCTGTTCCCTGACTGTTGATCTCTCTGACTATTTCACCCCTCCTTCTAGCTTATGGGGGACTGCTTCTTACAGTCTTTTGTGTGTTTGGTTTGGGGTGTGTGTGTGCTTTGAGACAGAGTCTCACTATATAACCCTAACAGGCCTGAACATCACTATAGAGATGAGACTCATGAGTCTTCTGCCTTCACCTCCCAAGTACAGATCCCAAGTACAGAGCTCTACAAACATGCATCTCCATGCATGGTTCTCCTTCGGATTCTCCTTTCTTTTTCTTTTCTTTTCTTTTTTTTTCTTTTCTTTTCTTCCTCTTCTATTTTTTAAAGATTTATTTTCTTTTTTAAAGATTTATTTATGTGTTATGTATACAGTGTTCTGTCTGCATGTACACCTGCCCACCAGAAGAGGACATCAGATGGTTGTGAGCCACCATGCGGTTGCTGGGAATTGAACTCAGGACCTCTAGAACAGCAGTCTGTGCTCTTTAACCTCTGAGCCATCTCTCCAGCCCCAAGATTTATTTTCTTGTTGTACATAGTGGCACATGCCTTTGATCCCTGCACTGGAGAGGCAGAGGCAGGCAGATCTCTGAGTTTAAGGCCAGCCTAGTCTACAGAGTGAGTTTCAGGACAGCCAGGACTATAACACAGAGAAAGCCTATCTTAAAAAACAAAACAAAACCTTGATTTTATTTTAACTTATATTTATTATTTATTTATGTATCTGTCTTGTGTGTGGGTGTTTTGTCCACATATTTGTCCGTGCATTGCATGCATGCCTGGTACCTGTGGAGGCCGGAAGAGGGCATCAGATCTCTCTTGGGACTGGAGTTAAAGATCACTGTGTAGGTCCTGGGAATTAAACCTTAGAGTCATCTCTCTGGCCCCAATTTAATATTACTTTTTTTGCTAGTTTGTTAGTCTATGAAGTCTGTGCCATATGTATCTAGGTGTCAGACAGTTATGAGTTGCCCAGTGTGGGTGATGGGCACCCAACTTAGGTCCTCTGAAGAGTAGTAATTGAGTCATCTCTCCAGACCCTTATACCAATTATTATTGTTGTTGTTATTCTTAACTAGTTTATGTTGATGGACATTTTGCCTGCATGTCTCTTTGCAGCATGTGAGTTCCTGATGCCCATGGAGGTCAAAAGAGAGCATCGAATCCTCTGGAACTGGAGTTACAGATGGTAGCTGAAATGTGAGTGCTGGAATCAAACCTAGATTCTCCAGAAGAGCATCCAGTGCTCTTAATCTCTGAGCCATCTTCCCAGCCTCTTATGCCAGTTCTTGATGAAAATTGCAAAGCGCATCAACTCTGGTATAGTGCTAATGCTAGAGTGTCTGGTTTCAAATCCAGCTTTGTTACTTACTAGCCAAGAGACCTTAGCTATGTTACTCATCCTCTCTGCGCCTTAATTCCTCAATAGCATAGTAATATTACTTCATAGAATGAGTTTGAGGCTCAAAGTAGAACTTGCAAAAACAGTTTGGACACTGCCATTCAGCCATTAAGTACTCAAAAAATGACACCCTTCCATCCACTCCAGCCCATACTGAGCAAGAATCACAAAGAATCAAAATGACATTTGTCACTCCCAATTGTGCCCCAGGGATTTTGACTTGGTGTCATATACCACCTTCTGCAAACACTCACTAAAGGAATTCCCTAGCTAACTTTAAATTCTGCCAGTGCTCCGAACCCTTGGCTGACTGGAAGACAGCTCCTTGCTGTCCCACAGATAAGCCTTGTTCATTTCTGTTCTGTGCCTTTTCTCACACAGTTCCTCCTCCTCCACCTTCTCCCTTCCTTCTTCTTCCTATCTTTTCCTTCTCTGCTCAAACCTTACCCCATCTAAGAAACCCTCCCTGACTATATCAGTTTCTTTTTACTAGTTTTCTTTTTTATCCTTCTCTTCTATTTTACATCCCAACTGACTGCAGTTTCCCAACCCCTCCACTCCTCCCAGTCCCCCCACATACATCTCTCCTCTCCCCTAGATCCACTCCTCTTCCATTTCCCTTCAGAAAAGAGCAGGCCTCCCAGAGGTATCAACTGAAGTTGGCATAACAAGTTATGGTAAGACTAGGCACAAACCCTCATACCAAGGCAGGACAAGGCAATTCCCTAGGGTAAAAAGGATCTCAAAAGCAGGCAAAAGACTCAGAGACAGCTCCACTCCCACTGGTAGAAGTCAGTCCTACAAGAATACCAAGCTATACACCCATAACACACATGCAGAGGCCCTAGCTCAGACCCATGCAGGCTTTGTGATTGTTTCAGTCTCTTTGATCCCCTGTGAGTCCGGCTTAGTTGATTCTGTGGGCTGTGTTTTCCTGTTGTCCTCAACCCCTCTGGCTCCTAGAATCCTTCTCCCCACCTCTTCCTTGGGGGAGGGTTCCCCAAGCTCGGCATAATGTTGGCTTTGGATCTCTGGTCTGTTCCCATCAGCTCCCAGAGGAAGCCTCTCAGACAACGACTGGGCTAGGCACCGATCTATTGAGTATAGAACGTTATCATTAGGAATCAACTCATTGACTTTTTTTTGCCAGCGTGTTTGGTTCTATCCTATGTCTCTGGGCTATCCAGCCTTGGTCCCTGGTCATCAAAGGGGGCTGAGTTCCCTCTGTGGCATAGGCCCACAAGTTAGACCAGTCATTGGTTGGCCACTCTCACAAGTTCTAAGCCACCTTTACCTGTTATGGCTGGTTTGGTGTCCCAGTCCCATCACTAATTACAGGAGATGGCTGGTTCAGGCTCTATATCCCGATTACTAGAAGTCCACACTAGGGTCAACCTTGTAGATTTCAGGGAGTTCCCACTGCACTAGGCTTCCACATAGTTCCCCAAATCCCCCCAGTTAAAACTCATCTCTCCTCTTATTCGCTCCCTCCACCTTCCCCCCACTGACACCTGATCCCTCCTGTTCCCATCCCCCCACCCCCATCTACCCAGAAAATCTCTTCTAGCTCCCTTTCCCGGGGAGAACCATGCATCCCCCGCCTCCAGTCCTCCTTGTTACTTAGCTTCTCCCGATCTGTGAATTGTAGCCTGGTTACCTTTACAGCTAATACCCACTTATGAGTGAGTACATACCATGTTGTCTTTCTGGGTCTGGGTTACCTTACTCGGGATTTTTTTTTCTAGTTCATTCATTTACCTGAGAATTTCATGAGATCATTGTTTTCTGTAGCTGAGTGCTATTCCATTGTGTAAACATGTCACATTTTCTTTATCCATTCATTGGTTGGGGGACATCGAGGTTGTTTCCAGGTTCTGGCATTACAAATGATACAAACGCTGAGCAAAGTTGAGAAAGTGTCCGAGTGGTGGAATGGAATGTCTTTGGGTACATGCCTAAGAGTGGTCGGTATAGCTGGGTCTTGAGGTAGACTGATTCCCAATTTTCTGAGGAACCCCTATATTGATTTCCATAGTGGTTGCACACGTTTACATTCCCACCAGCAATGGAGGAGTGTTCCCCCTTGCTCCACATCCTTTCCAGCATGAGCTGTCACCTGTGATTCTGATCTTAGTCATTCTGAGAGGTGTGTTTCTCTGTGTTAGCCCTGGCTGTCCTGGTTGGAACTCACTTTGTAGACCAGGCTGCCTGCCTCTGCCGGCCTCTGCCTGCTTCTGTCTCCCAAAACCTGGGGCTAAAAGTGTGTGCCACCACCACACCCAGCCCTATATCAGTTTCTTCTTCTCTCTTCCCCTTTGAATCCCCTCCCAGTCAGAATCGGAACCATGTTGCCAGAAAACACAAAGCAATTCTTTGGTCTTGGTCACGTAGCCTCAAGAGGTTATTAAATTCCGTTAGCTTGTTTGAGGATGTACCAAGTATTGGACATTCAACACAAGGCTAAGTACATACACTGGGCCCCACCTCCAGTTCAATAAACGCTTTAAGAATCAGCATGTTCTCTCTTCCCTTGCCCCCTTGACCCCAGCACGTAGCCTCATGCCGGCTTCTCCATAGGTATCCAGCAAAGACTCAGCTGCTGACATATCTCGCATAACTCAGATTTGGCAAAGGGAAGCTGAGGCCCTGACTTGATTCCTGGCAGCGAGTTCAATCAGAAGGTAGGAAGTTGGTTCTGCTGACTTCACATGTTTCCTCAGGGGTTCAGTTTGCAGAAAGAGCAGGATCCTCAGGTGAGCCCTTCAGTGTAGAGACCTTGAAACTAAACAGATCCTTCGGTTAATGGTTGACACTGTCTGTTTACCTAAATGATTGCCAAGAGTCCCGGCTTGCCGATGGCACACTTTGTGGATTAACTGCCTTGGCCCCAAGGGTAGAAGATAATTTCTAGGTAGGCTTTTATGGTTTTGGTATGTAACTGGAAATACTGTAGTCTGTCTCCAGCTAATAAGTTCATGGACAATAAGTAGATGATACCCTGGTATTGCTATATAGGGAGGGAGCAAGGCCGTCCTCCATTTTGACCTCAGGCATTTTGTCTTCTCAATTATCCATAGTTTTAGAGGCTGGGATCTAGAAGAGATGGCATCCAGCACCGGAGTCCTCTCTGCTGCTTGCCCACACAGTGGGTCCCCTGAAGGCTGAGAGTGGGGCAGAACTGAGGGGTGTAGAGGGGAGTCAAGTCCAGTTCAGTACCTCAGATAGGGCCCAACATGACATTTTGGTGACAGTGATGCTTCTCTTCCTCTGAAACAGGGCAAGAACTCTAGGTCCAAATCCATTGGGAGCTCAGGGATCAATCTTGTTTAATGATTGTGTGTGGGACAGGGGTGGGGCTGGTTAATGTTTCTCTGCTTCCTCTTGGGCTATGGGCCATGTAAAGCTCCGGTCCTGGACTTATTGTCCCTCCCCTGGGCTGGGCTTTGACAGTACCTAGTGGCATTGAACAGACACGCCTGCATACATTCCCTGGGAAAAGGTAGCTGCAACCAGGTGTGGCAGTGCCTGGGAGGTGAGGAGTGTGGGGAGGGAAGGGGGGCTACGGTGGGCTGATATGGTGCTGGGGTCAAAAAGCCTGGGTCTTATCTTCTCCTGACTTCAGCATTCAGCCACTTGGGGCCTTTCTGTGCTTCCCTCTGAACTGGGATGGCGCCCTCCTGCCAGGTGCCCAGCCTGTTAGATTCTCTCTTCAGCCTCCAACTCCTACCTTCTTTCCAGGCTCCGTGGTCTTCTTTCTCCTTTTTCTCAGCCAAAGATTCTCCTCATGCCCATAAGGTCAGAGTCCCAGGAAGACAGACTTGAAGAACTCGAAACATAAGGTGGCCAAGTTTGCTTTTCCAAGACATTCTCTGGCATGCAGGGTCAGGGTTCTGTGGGACTGTCAGACAATGCCACATGCCGCTTTCTTTTCTGGGCCACAAGGTAAAGCAGGCACGTATCTGACATGGGCCTGCTAACAGGGCCAAGGATGTGGGAGCATGCCTTTCCATTTGCTTGAGTGGGGGGGCAGGCAAGCTCAAGCTGGACTTGGTAACTGATGGTTTGAGAATTTACTGGAAGGGTGGCTCCCAGCTGTTAAAGAGCCATTCCAGCTGTCAGGAATGGCATAGCAGAACCCACGAACTTAGAAAATGAGATGGGGGAAAGAGAACCTACACAAAAGGTTTTGTTTTGTTTTTGTTTTTGAGACAGGATCTCACTCTGTAGCCTTAGCTGGCCTTGAATTTACTATATAAACCAGTCTGGGCTCAACTCACAGATCCTCCTGCCTCTATCTCCTGAGTGAGTACTAGGATTAAAAGCATGCACCAACCAGCCCAGCCACAAAAGAAGTTTTAATAGGCAGAAACCATTGGTAAGGGACCCAGTCTTGGAAGAGGGGCCAATATGCTTTGCAATCTGAGTTTTACCACTTGTTTACCGGCTGCGTAACAAGTTAGAGCTTCTGCCAGGCATAGCGGCTTACGTCTATAATCCCGGTTCTCAGAAGACTCGAGGCATGAGGATTGTGAGTTCGAGACTAATCTGGCTACATGTGTGAATTGGGGTTGTTCGGAGGATGAGAGTTCATGAGCATGCAATTCCTGATACTCAGAGAGCATTCTATAAATGGTGGCCGTCACAATGAGCCCAAACAACACTAGCAAGTAAAGTGGATGATGGAGGAGCAAATAGCAATAAGCCAAGCATTGACAGGAAAAGGAATGTCAGCAGAAGCCTTCTGAAGAGGCAACAGCAGGGAGGGGGAGAGAGAAAAGTGAACGCACTAGACTGGTCATGGTGAGCAAGCCTGACCATGACAGATGGATGAAGGGGTGGAGACTAATTCAGACCTGAGATTCTATAGAACCACGGGGTGGAGGCGTGAAGATAGCAGGGAAAGAGAAGGAGACAGGTGAGGCTGGCTTTAACCACACCAGCCTGAGGAAAGCGCCCCAAAATTCAGAAGAAAGTCCCTTCCTGACTATGAGTGGCCTAAGAGACAGAAAAGAACATAGAGTTTGGGCTAATTTTTTTTCTTTTTATTGTTTGTTTTTGAAACAGGATCTTATGTAGCCTAGGCTGGCCTCAGACTAAGTAGCTGAGGGATAACCTTGAACTCCTGATCCCTCTGTTCCCACCTCCTGGGAACAAATACACAAGTACTACTGCTTCTGGGGATCGAACTCAGGGCTTCGTGCCAACTAGGCAAGCACTCTACCAACTGAACCACATCCTCAACCGTGGTGTCTGGGCCTGAGTGTAGTAACCTCATCCAGTCCCACCAGAGTCGCATTGCCCAAACCCACAAAACACAAGGAGTCACATGCAGGTGGAAAGAGTGACAGGATAGGAAGGGAGACTGAGGTGATAAATGCGCCATGTGTGCACACACATGCCAACACACACAGGAGTACGGCTTTGCAGGCTGTGTGCTCTGTCTCAGAACAAACATTCCTTCAGAAGAGGGGCCCTCAGATGCAGCGCTCTGTGCAAAAGCTTTGAGGTCAGAGGAAAATCAATTTGCAATCTGATTCCATTAGTTGGCAGTAGAGCAATTGCCAGTGAAGCAAGTTACTGAGTCAGTCTCTCTCTCTCTCTCTCTCTCTCTCTCTCTCTCTCTCTCTCTCTCTCTCTCTCTGCCTCAACCTCCTGGTCTGAAAAATGGGGATAACATTACAGAACTTTTCATGAGCTCCTGCTTTTGTTCTGTGCTCAAGTGCTGGGCAAACCTGAATTCAAAGCCTGACAAGGCCTCAGAAACCCTACCTAATTAAACACAGAGCAAAACATGCCTGCTGCAACTCAAACCATATCAACAGCTGGACTTTAACCTAAAGTCAGGAAAACAGTTTGGATTTCAAAATCAGGTCACTCCTCTGGATGTTTTTAAAATGCAGCCTTGAGGTACTGGTGTTGACGCAGACAAAGCAAAAATTGAGATCCCAGTGCCCACACAAGGGCTCTCAGAGGTCCCAACGGGAGCTACTGGCTGTGGCCCAGAAAACGCAAAGTAAGAGGCAAAGAATTTCTTAGAAGAACCTAGAAACTTGAGGTTGATTAGAAGGTGTATGGGGCACCTCTGAGGAGAAATAGAAAGAAAACACCTATGTTTGCTTTGGGGTTCATGGGAACAGCCTGAGAAAAAGAAAATGGATCAAATCAGGAGGCAAGGGAAGCCCTGGGAAGGAAGCTTTGAATCTTCTCGGCCCTGAACAAACATGGAAAGGAAAGTGGCAACTCTGTTAGATGCCGTAGCGTTTATGGAGAGAAAAAAAAAGGTAGAACTTAACAATTTAAAAAAAAAAAGCTATGGACAAAACGTGGACTCTCACGTCAGTCCTACCTCCCTCAAAGGCCATCTCTGTGACTGCATGATCCTAGGGAATGACCCTTTCTTTCTTTTGTTCTTTTTGTTTTGTTTTGTTTTTGTTTTTGTTTTTCGAGATAGGGTTTCTCTGTAGCTTTGGAGCCTGTCCTGGAGCTAGCTCTTATAGACCAGGCTGGCCTCAAACTCACAGGGATCCACCTGCCTCTGCCTCCCAAGTGCTGGGATTAAAGGCGTGCACCACCACCGCACGGCAGGAACGATCCTTTCTGCCTCAGTTTCCTCCTCCATGACAAGAGGCTAAAAATAACATCCTACCTCCCCAAGATGTTCCTTAATCTTTTTCTTTTATATTGTTAGCCTATTTACATGTGTATTTATAACGTGAACGGGTGTCAGGGTGGGTGCATCAGTGTCCGGGCACACATGGAAATCAGAGGACAACTTTCAGGAGATGATTCTTTCCTCAGGTCATCAGGCTTGCCCGACAAGTGCTCTGGCCTGCTGATTGTTCTGAGACTCACTGGAGAAAGCACGCGTTCAAGGGCTTGGCACATGATTAATATATACTTGGCAAATGCTTATTCCTGCAGGAGTTGGGTTTTTATTCCATTTATGTGTGCGCGTGTGTGCTCGCTCTCGTGTGTAAGTCAGAGGACAACTTACAGGAGTCAGTTCTGTCCTTTCACCACGTGGATTCTGGTATCAGACTCAGGTAATCAGGTTTGGCAGCAAGCACCCTTACTCACTGAACCATCTTGCTAGCCCAGGTTACTCCTCACTCCCAGGGCTGTGTGCACACAAAGGAAGTCCTCTACCACTGACCCAAATACCTACATCTAGTCTGTGAAGCCTAAAACATCTTATTGGCAAAAACATTTTCCTCCCTCCATCCCTCCTTTCCTTCTTTTTTATTTTTATTATTATTATTTTTTTCTTTGAGGTGGGAGGATTGAGACAGGCTCTCTCTATATATGTATCCCTGGCTGTCCTGGAACTCACTAACTCACTGTAGATAAGACAGACCTCAAATTCATTAGAGACCTTTCTGCCTCTGCTTCCCGAGTGCTAGGAATAAAGATGTATGCTACCACAACCCACTCTTTTTGGTTTTTGAGACAGGGGAAGTCTCACATTGTAGCCCTTGCTAGAACTCACTATGTAGACTAGGTTGGCCTTGAACTCAACGCAATTTGCCTGTCTTTACCTCCTCGAGTGCTGAGATTAAAGATATGTGTCACCATGCCTGACAGGACCTTTATAAAAAACGTAAATGAAGAAACATCGTGTAGAGAAGTAACTTATGTCCCATAACTGTCCCTTCTTCCTCTCCTCTTGCTTTGTTTTTGTGACTGGACCTCCCTAAGTTGCATAGACTGGACTAGAACTCTTGTTTGTTTTTGTTTTTAAATATGTGCGTGAGCTTCTCTGTGTGTGTTTGTGTGCTAAAACATGGCCACGTGTAATCCAGGTTGGCCTTGAAATCACACTGTAGCTGAGGCTGGCCTTGACCTCTTGACTCTCTACTTTCCAAGTGCTGAGATTACAGGTGTGCATCATCATGCCTGGCCTTAGTCTAAAGCTTCTGAGCTCGTGAGCCTCCTCCCTTAACCCTCACACCCCAGATAGCCAGAATACAGGTGTGGACCACCTGTGAGCCTCCTCCCTTAACCCTCACACCCCAGATAGCTGGAATACAGGTGTGGACCACCTGTGAGCCTCCTCCCTTAACCCTCACACCCCAGATAGCCAGAATACAGGTGTGGACCACCTGTGAGCCTCCTCCCTTAACCCTCACACCCCAGATAGCTGAATACAGGTGTGTACCACCTGTGAGCCTCCTCCCTTAACCCTCACACCCTAGATAGCTGGAATACAGGTGTGTACCACCTGCGAGGCTCCTCCCTTAATCCTCACACCCCAGATAGCCCGACTACAGGTGTGTACCACCTGCCCCGATCTCCTGTTTCTTTTCTCTCACTCCCCAACATTTCCAGTAACTATTTCGCTGCCTCTTCCCTCTGTAACCAAGACAGGCACCCAGAGTGATTACAAGGCTTCTTCCTGCACCCGCCACCCCTGTTGTGGAGGTGCCCTGGGTAAGGCCGAAAATGCACTGCCTTTGCTGTGTTTCTGTAGTCCAGGCCTGAGGTACTCTCATCCAGCTCCCTGCTTCTAACACAATCTCCTTTCAACTTCAATGGCAGAAGTGGTGGGAGGTGGGGAGAGGCCTTCTTTGTCTGCCTAAGGGAGAGAGGAGAATTTCCTCCCTAGAGTCATTGGCAGACTCATAAGCAGGAGGTTACAATATGTACTTGACATTGGGGCCAGGGCAGCAACTAAGCTGTCTGTTCTATGGCAGACACTCTAGGTGGCTACACATTACTGGAGAGAAAAAGGAGAGATGTGGGCTTAGCGGACCATTTGGCTGCCCAAGGCAGTATTGTTTCCTCTTCCAGAGACAGTTCTTAACCCCTTGATAGTCACTTGAGAAACTGGAGCAGGTATCTTCATTGACACCCGCGGCAACCCTGGGCGTGGGCTCCATTAACAGATGAGCAAGCAGGCCTATGGAAAGTCAGTAAATAGCCCAAGGTGAAGAATCAGGATGCAAACAGAAGCTACATGACCCGTGCATAATCCATTGTCTAACCTGCTACTTGCCTGATGGCTTTATCACTCGGCTTGTTCTCACCATGAGCCCACCTGCCCACCCCCTGGAGAAGGTTCCCTTTCCTGCAGTTTGAGGATAGTCAGAGTTTGCTGGACAGTTTCCTTGATTTTCATGTGTTTCAGGGTGACATCAAATTAGCCTTCTTTTCTTCTTTAATGGCTAGCTTTTTCTTTGGCTGGCACGTCTGCAAAAGCGCAAGGAGTCTGCTGCTGTGAGACTCTAGTCTGCTTCAGACTCCTTTGTACTTCATCTTTTTAGCTAGGGTACTTTGAGTGGATAGCAGGATTCTTGAATGGGTCAAAAGGAAGAATGCATGGGGAAGTGATTATTGTACTTCCTGGCTTGATAAACTCGATGCCCTACGTTTCCTCCCTCCTGGCACATTCATACCCGGAAGGGGACCCAAGACTAGCAAAACTCCTGCTGACTCTTGTTTCTGGTAGAAATATGGAAGAGGGCTTTAGTCCAGAGTCTCCTGGCTCCCTGGGGTCTGGGTTTCCATGCACCTGTCTGTGTTCTAGCTCCCTCCCCCAGAGCCATTATTCTGGTAGAGCCATGGGGCGGGTGCGGCGATGGACCGGGCGGGCACAGAACAGGTGGGTGAAGGCTGGGTGTCCGGCGCTGGGACACAAGTGCTCTGTGTGTAGGGTGGGCGGAAGTCAGGGCGTTTGATCTGAATTCTAAAGGGTGTTGTTCAGCGCCCCACAAAGGTCCCATTGTACAGACACTGGGTATAAAGCAGCATATGACTCTCCAGCACCGGGAGGCGATGAATTGGGACGCAGGCGCGACCACAGGGACCACTCCCCCTACACAGACATGAGACCATAGGGGAGCTGTCTGGGTGGCCTCAAGGATAGGCGCTCCCCGAGGTAACCGGGCTTTCTGGGTTTGCCATAAGTCAGGTGCAAAGTAGCTAGCTGGGGGAGGGGAGCCAGAAGAGCTGGCTAAAAGCAGAACTAGATAGGCCTGGTGAAGAGAGGGACTCAAGAGAAAAGAATGCTGGATGTATGTGAAGAAAGGGGATGGGACTCAGAGAGGTCAAGTCAAGCGAATGAGAAGGAAAGCCTGACACCAAGAGGGACGGAAGAGGAAAGCTATGACTATCCTCGCTTTCCCATCACCTGCTCTTGGAAGAGATGGGGGCAGGGGAGGCAGCATTACTCTGCCCAGCTTCCTGCCCTAACCTTCTGACAGTTTGCTTCCTGCCTCTTGTCTCACAGGTGTGAATGAGGCAGGATGAACTGGACGGGTTTGTACACCTTGCTCAGTGGCGTGAATCGGCATTCTACCGCCATCGGCCGAGTATGGCTGTCCGTCATCTTCATCTTCCGAATCATGGTGCTGGTGGTGGCTGCAGAAAGTGTGTGGGGCGATGAGAAGTCTTCTTTCATCTGCAACACCCTCCAGCCTGGCTGCAACAGCGTCTGCTATGACCAGTTTTTCCCCATCTCCCACGTGCGCCTGTGGTCCCTGCAGCTTATCTTGGTTTCCACCCCAGCTCTCCTCGTGGCAATGCACGTGGCTCACCAACAGCACATAGAAAAGAAAATGCTACGACAAGAGGGGCTCACGGACCCCATCCACCTGGAAGAGGTAAAGAGGCACAAGGTCCACATCTCAGGGACACTGTGGTGGACCTATGTCATCAGCGTGGTGTTCCGGCTGCTGTTCGAGGCAGTCTTCATGTATGTCTTCTATCTACTCTACCCCGGCTATGCCATGGTGCGACTGGTCAAGTGTGAGGCCTACCCCTGCCCCAACACAGTGGACTGCTTTGTGTCCCGCCCCACCGAGAAAACCGTCTTCACTGTCTTTATGCTCGCCGCCTCCGGCATCTGCATTATCCTCAACGTGGCAGAGGTGGTGTACCTCATCATCCGGGCCTGTGCCCGCCGTGCTCAGCGCCGCTCCAATCCGCCCTCCCGCAAGGGCTCGGGCTTCGGCCACCGCCTCTCACCTGAATACAAGCAGAATGAGATCAACAAGCTGCTGAGCGAGCAGGATGGCTCTCTGAAAGACATACTGCGCCGCAGCCCTGGTACCGGGGCCGGGCTGGCTGAGAAGGGCGACCGATGCTCAGCCTGCTGATGCCCATGTACCAGGCAACCTCCCATCCCACCCCTCCCTCACCCAGCCCTAGGCCTGCCCCTCCTTTTCCTATGCCGGTGAGCAGGCCTCTGCCTGCTAGGGATTACTCCATCAAAACCTTCCTTCTCTCCCTACTCCCCTTCCTCGAGAGCCTTCTGTCTAAGAACTAGCCTGCTGGGGAGTGGAGAGCCACCTCTGCACCAGGGCTCAAGGTTACTGAGGGTGGGGGTAGCTCTTTCTGCCTGGACCCCTTCCTCTTCCCTCTTCCTCTCCCTGAGAGATGAGATGCTCTGCCGGTGTTTTCAATTATGAAACTAATCTTAACCCCCATGCTGTTAGGTACCCCACTTCGGGAGTCACAACAGTGGGGAGGGATGTGGGCAAGCGGAGTGGAGGAGGGGCTCTGCATCGTGGGTGGAGAAGGGAGGGGAACAAGCACAGGAAAAGGAAGAACAGTGCTTGCCTTGCTGTCTGCGGCAGGCAGCGAGGAAAAGAAGGCCATGTCTAGGGTGAGGGAGTTAGGGAGGAAGAAACAGGCAGATAATAAACTGGAGTGGGAATTGGTCAGGGCTGCTCCCAGTCCCCAGTTCCCAAGGCCTCTCTCTCTCTCTGGGCAAATGTTACACATTAAACAGGATTTTACAGTAAATGAAGAGGTGCTTTGAGTGTTTGTTGAAGTTCTTTCTCCTGCACCCTCCTTTCTGACCTCCCCCTGGATAAGCAGGCCTTGGTTGGCATTTTGCTGATCAAGAAAAGAAAAGGGCAGAAGGAAGAGTGCCTTGAAGCTGCAAGTAGGAGCTTGGCGAAGCCAACCTTGGAGCCGTCTTATTCTGTTTTTCTTCTTCTTCTGGCTTGTTTTTTTCCTTATTTCTTTTCTTTTTTATTGTTTATAATCTATTGGTATCTAATTCACACGCCTCCTTTCTTTTGTTTTAAGAATAAATGACAGCCTCTTCTAGAGAGACAAGAAATGCTACAGAACCGGCTCAGGACAGAGAGAGAGAGAGAGAGAGAGAGAGAGAGAGAGAGATGAGAGTGTGGTATACTTTTCTTGGCTACCTCGGATAGCTAGGCCCTTCTGCTACCCTTCTGAGACAGCTGTCCCCTTCCTCCCTGGACATTCACCCTCTGGTGCCCTGCAAGCCCATCTGTCTCCCCAGTGTCCCTCCCTTTTTCCTCTCTGAATTCATGCCCCCCCAGGACTCCATCAGAGGTCAGGCATGTCCAGTAGAAGTTTTCTTGCCAAGACCCTCCTTTCCCTGTCAACTACTGGAGGAAAAGCTCCAGGTTTGGAACTTGGCAAAGCAGAGTTCAAATCCTAACTGTGTCTCTTATTTGCAGGGTGTGCCCTTTCCCAAGCCTGTTTCCCTATGTGCACACAAGGGCTGACCCACACCTCTCCATCCTCCCTCCCATATTTGTCTACGTTTCTTAAGGACCCCTCTCCAGCCTCACAGGGCTTTCCCCCACTGCCACTGCCCACACAAAGGGTGCCTCAGGGTTCAAGTCCCCCCCCAGCAAGTTTTTCTCCTCAGCTTTCCCAACTCTGAGTTGGACAGAACATTGGTCACTTCCTCTCAGAGAAACATGGAGGAAATAACACCAGAAATGAAGAAAATCAGGTGTGACCTCATCAGAATTGTTCTCCCTCTGTCAGTCAATTTTTCCTCTCTAAGAGAAAGCATAAAATACAAAACCAGGAAGCAAGCAGGGTACTTGTCTGTAATCCCATCACTCAGGAGGTGGAAGCAGGAAGATTGTGGCAAATTAGAGGCCAGCCTGAGGTACGTAGTGCCAAGTCAGCTGGGGCTATGGTGTAAGACCCTGCCTCAGGAACAACAGCAAAACCACTCCTATCCTATGCGAAGTCTCCTTTCTCCTTAGAAACTAACATCATACTCTATCAGTGGACAAGTCCTTATGTGCCTGACACAAGGGCCGCAAAATTCCTCTTCCCATGGAAATCCATCCCCTTTTCCCATGATGCAACAAGCATAAACCATCTCCTCTTTGTGCAAAAGGTCCTCAAGAGAAAGATTTTCTTTTGCAAAATTTCATCCTGGGGGCTGGGGAATGTAACTCAGTAGAGTGTGTTTCTAATATGCTTGCCTTGGTTCTGTCCCCAACACGATTAATTAATCCTAGTCCTTGAGGGACCCTCACACCAGTGTCCGAGCGAGAAAGGATAAACTGCTCATCATGTCGGAAATCTACTATTCCAATCCTAAACCCTATGAGGTGGTGCGTGCCTTTAATCCCAGCATTTGGGAGGATCTCTGTGGAGATCTGTGAGTTCCAAGCCAGTCTAGTCTGTATAAAGAGTTTCAGGACAGCCAGGGCTAGCTAGAGAGCTCCTGTCAAAAAAAAAAAAAAGGAAGAGAAAGAAAATTCCATCTCCAGATGGAGGCTACCTCTGTGGGGCAACAAAGCTATCAGGCATTAGGAACCAGAGAGAGGATAGGACACAGGATTCTTGTGTCCTTCCTGCCAGGTGGAAACAGGCTGAAGGAATCTTGAAGGGAACTCCAAGAGGCAAAGTCTCAAAAACGTAGTGGGAGAGGCTGCCCCAGGTCTGATGGTTTCATTTGAGGGAAACACACTGAGGGCTTAGTACGTACCATAGTTCATCATGTGCTGAGTGAGCTGGATAATGAAGAGGGTGCTAGAGTTAAAAGACCTGGCTTTCCACTGCTGGGCTTGACCCCTTCCATACTTGTAGGTATTTATACCTGCAGTATAGAGTGTATAATAACTACTGTCTTTCACAGGGTTGTTTTGGTTTTTCGAGACAGGGTTTCTCTGTGTAACAGTTCTAACTGTCCTAGAAACTCGCTCTGTAGACCAGGCTGGACTCGAACTCACAGAGAGCCGCCTGCCTCCACCTCCCAAGTGCTAGGATTAAAGGCGTGCACAACGACTGCAACCAGCTAGGTTTTTATTTTTATTTATCTTTTTGAGAATCAAACAAGTTGTGTTCAAAAACTGATTATAAAAGTAAAGGTAATGAGAGATGACTCAGTAGTTAAGAGCACTGGCTGCTCTTCCAGAGGACCCAGGGTCAATTCCCTGCACCCACATGGCACCACACCTGTCTGTAACTCTAGTTCCAGGGGATGTGACACCCTCATACAGACTTACTTGCAGGTAAAACCTCAATGCTCATAAAATAAAAATAAAAATAGATAAACTTTAAAGAAATCTTTAAAAAATTATAAAGGTAATGAGTTAGGACTGGTGGCATACCTGCAATCTCAGCACTTAGAAGGTGGAGGCAGAAGTTCAGGACCAGCCTTGGCTAAACAGGGAGTTTGAGGCCAGTCTGGGCTGTATGAGACCCTGTCAAAAAATCAATAAGAACGTTAAAAGAAATCAAGTTATAAATGTAAGATAGTTTCAAAGGCACCTAGAAAGTGTGTATTAGAACTCCCCAGGAGTCAGGAAGGAGGAAATCCAGTTCAGCCGGGCTGAAACTTATGTAAAGAATTTGGCTCTGTTAGCTGGAATTAAAGCACGCCTTTAATGCCAGCACTCAGGAGGCAGAGGCAGACAGGTCTCTCTGTGAGTTCCAGGCCAGCCTGGTCTACAGAGTAAGTTTCAGGACAGCCAAGGTTACAAAGAGACGCTGTCAAAGGAGGAAGAGGAAGAAAAAGGAAGATTTTGGCGGTATAAGGCCAGGTTTGACACATATCTATAATCCCAGCACTCTAGAGTCTGAGGAAAGAGTGAGACCTCAAGACTGGGCTACTTACCAAGGACCCTGTCTGAAACCAAAAACAAAATCTTGGCAAAAATAAGGCTTCTCCAGGGAGCAGGCAACAGTCCAAACAACAAAGTCCAGGGATGTTGCAAACTTCGTCATGACCTATTGAAGGGTCAATATTCAAGGGCTCTCTCTTGAGGACAGGAAAGGTCGAGGAGCAGACCTTTTGGAGTACTCCCTATCTGCTGTTTGTTGGGTGGCAGGAATCTATGGTCTTTCAGAGGTGTCTGTGTGCAGATGCCAGCAGCTGCAGGGAAAAGACGGAGTTGGTTCCTGGATGGAAGCAAGCTGAACTACGGACAGTAGTCAAAGCACCAGCTAATGAGTCAATATTACAGAGCAAGCCGCAGTATCCATAGAGAATTGGCATGGCAACCACAAACTGGCTCAGATGCTCAATCAGATAGCCTGGGCGCACAAAGTGGGGGCTGGAGGGGAATGCTCACTTCCTTTACAGATTCCACAATATTTAAATGCTGGATCTGACCTGTAGTATACAGGGGCTAGACAATTCTACTGACCTGAGCTCGCTTTGATTGCCAGACTAGGCCAGGCTGAACCTAAAAGGGCAAGCAAAGAAAGGATTGGGGCATTGAAGTGAGGGAGAATAAAGCAGGCGGCAGACATCTGAAAGGCGTGCTGTCTTCAGAGTCAGATAAATAATCTGTCGTGGAGGATCCAAGAAATGGAATGGCTATGGCAGAGGGAAAGACAAACTGTAGCCAGAGTGGGGCAGGCCTTTCAGTGTGTCTCTTTAAGGAGTTAAGACTATCTTTTAGAGAGGTTGGCACAGTGGCACACCCCTTTAATCCCAGCACTGGGGAGGTAGAAGCATGAGGTCTCTGTGAGTTCGAGACCAGCATGGTCTACTAGTGAGTTCCAGAAAAGGCAAGACTATGTGGACAGACCTGTCTCAAAATAAAAACAAAACAAAACAACAACAACAACAAAAACAGAAGCAATATCTATAAGAGAGCACAAGAGATGTCTCAGTGGTTAAGTGCACTTGGTTTTGCAGAGGACCTGGGTTCAATTCCCAGTACTCACATGGCAACTCTGAAGTATTAATAACTTCATCCAGTTCAAGGAGATCCAAGGCCCTCTTCTGATTTCCATGGGCATCAGGCACACATGTGGTACACAGACATACACTTGAGAAAAACACATAAAACAAATCTTTCTAAAAGCACTATCTAAAAAAAATTATAAGAATGTCTATAAGAGTTAAGCATGTTAGTACATGTCTGTACTAGTACTTGAGAGGTAAAGACAAGATCATAAGTTCAAGGTCATCCTCAGCTACACAGTAGGTTTGAGGTCAGTTAGGTTACATGGACCTTATCTCAAAATACAAAAAAAAAAAGTCTGCTTATGGAAATAGCTCAATGTAGACTAACCATTATAAAGCCCTGAATTTGATCCCCAGAGCTGCACAAAACTGGGTACATGTCAGTGGTACATGAAAGTAGAGGTTTGAAACTCAGGAGTTCAAGGCCAGCCTTATCTACCAATCAAGTTTGAGGCCAGCCTGGGCTTTCTGACACCCTGTCTCAAAAAGGAAAAGAAAAGAAAAAGGGCAGGTGAGATGGCTCAGCAGGTAAAGGTGCCTGCTGCCAAGCCTGACAACCTGAGTTTGATCCCTGGGACCTACGTGGTAGAAGAGAACCAACGCCTCACAGTCCTCCTCTGACTTCCATACTTTTGCCATCACATGTGTGCACCCACACATATATGTGCACACACACAGCACACAAAACAGATAAATATATGTAATAAAAGAGAAAAAAGACAATCTCTAGGTAGTTGGGGAGTGGATCCTCAGACTAAAACAGTTCGAGGCCAGCCTGATCTAGAGAGTGAGTTTCAGGACAGACAGGGATACACAAAGAAACC